ACGCGAATTGAGCGTTTCGCGCGAATGGTGCTTTTTGTGCATTTACGCGTTTGACGCGAATTCGCGTCTGACGCCCGAGTTGAAAAATTTTAACTTTGGCGTCAATTCGCGCCGCGTTAACCAATCAGGAGCCTGCTTGCTGCTGTGGCGGCAGGCCCGCCCGGAGTCACTCATTCTAAATGGAGGAACGACTGATATTATCAGTGAGCAGTCACCCAGAGATTTATGACACAAGTTCATATTTCTATAGAGACAGGAATAAAAAGGACCTCGCTTGGAAGAGTGTCGGTGAGGAGATTGGGCAACCTGGTAAGTTGTAAATACACATTTCACTTTTGAGTCACGTACACGTTTATCGACCCGCGGCCTTCCCGCCGTTTTTTACAACTATTTCCCCCCTACAGCTACTTTTCGCTAACAAGATAATGTGTTTATTCAGAGGACGTGTGCAGAAAAAAGTGGAAAAGCCTCAGGGACACCTACCTGAAGGAGAAGAGGAAGGAGATGGAGAAGAGGAGTGGGTCAGCAGCAGGGTCAGTGAAGAAGTGGAAGTACTCACAGATCCTGGGATTCCTCGAGCCCTTCGTCACCCCACGGGAGACCACCAGTAACATGGGGGGGGTCGAGGCCCAGGTCATAGAGTACAACCACCCCAGGGACCAGGGAGAGGGAGAGGCGAAAGCAGGGGATACGGAAACAGGTGAGTTTTCCAATTAAGCCAATTTACAAGGCATATATGCTGTCATTGTTTACAGATGAAGAGTATAATGTAATCTCTCTATGACTATTGTTACCAACGTGTTGTATTAACATATAGTATTGTCTTGACAGAGCCTACAGATAATGAAGAGACTGATCCTAGATCCCCTGCCGCTTCTCCTGTCTCCCCAGTCCCTGGTCCTTCACCCCCTGCTGCTGCACCCACAGGTGTGTGAAGGCAATAGTACAAACAATATTTGAACATGTTACGTGCAGAAAACATCAGTACAGTATCCACTCATAGCTTTAACATTCACATAAAGGCAAAACAATTTGTGAATTAGTCCCTTTACTAATAATCATTGTATTTGTAAATGCAGACTCGATTCTATTGCAATGTATGCCACCAATCATCTGCATACATACTTTTTAACTATGTTCATTTACATGTTTATCTTCCTGATGTTTATATGTCTGAAGTATAACTTTAA